TTTTCCCTTAAAAACTAATTAATTCTATAATTATACTCTCCTAGAAATCTTCTCAATAATTAATATCTATCATAGTTGAACTAATTCTTCTTTCTAATTTTTTATTTTTCTATTGCAAGTGTGAGGTATAACTATTCCCTTTATTAAACAATTTTACTTAAATTTATTATTAGATAATTTACTTAAATTTATTATCAACCAATACATATAAAAATAATGATGTTCAAGTTCAACAACCAAAGTTTCTTATATGTAGTATTTATAAATAATCAATATCTCTCTATATCTTCTAATTCCTACACTAAATAATTTTTTATCCATTGCGAAAAGGGAAAATATTGCAATTGGAAGTAAACAAATTATTTCAATTTTGTCTTTGACGTTTTTTTTAATTCAACAATTTAAGTTCATGTTGAATTTTTTAAATTCAACAAATTAAATTTTTTTTTTTTATCAATTTTCTTTCGATGCTCTTCTTGTAGGGATTTAGGTACTCTAAGCAAAATTTCATGAATCACATTCATACACACCTAAAAAAGGATCAGATGCATAACACACAAGAATCACATAATTGTACCTTTGAAGCGTGATTTCCACGTTGGGATTGACTATAAACCAGGGAGATAAGAGAGACCCAAACGTTGCTCCTCTATTTAGTCCATGGGATTCGAATGAATGTCCACCAATGCTATATTGGTCGGATGATTGAGGAAACACCACGATCACCACCTTTGCGGACACCCTAACCACTATCGCGAGCACCACCACACGAGCACACCGCCGGTGCCCCTTAGGGATGTACGGACGAGTGAGGGAGTGAGAGAGAGAGGGGTTGGTTTGTGTTTAACAATTAAGGTTGGATCAACTAATCACAATGTGTTATTAAAACCCTAGGCACCTAGTCTAACTATAATCATATTATAATTAGACTAGGTTAGAAAGCCCAAACCCTCTATAACACTCCATATGGCCGGCCACCTAGGGTGAGAAGGCCCATCTCCCTCTAAGGTTCAACCCAACCCCTTTGTGTGACCTTATAGGATCCGTTTAATTGGGATTTGGCCTATTTTACTAGCCCAAATATCGTTGGTACCTCTATCTATAATATAACGACGACCCAAAATGACCGAACTTAATTATCTCCATAATTTATGTAGGGTTTCGTAGTGACCCTCACTACGCGGAAGGAAACCCACCAAGACCCGCCCCGATAACTAAAGCAATTAAAGCATGCAAATATAATTAATACATAATTAAAAGAAGGGATAAAGAATTATACCCTAGACGCGTGCTTAGCTCGCTAAAAGAGCTCTTACTTCAACCTCGCAAATGCAAGGCCTCCGACAGTTCGTACCCTTGAACCCGATCCGATCGTCCTAAGTCCCGAAGGTTAGTCGGGACCCGAACAAAATATAAACTTTGGATTTTTACAAACTTAAGGTATTCTCAACAATGGAGATGCATATATAGTTCCACTCAAGTGTGTATTCCCAAAATCCCACTCAAGGGGTATTTATAGGGAATGGGGACTTGAATCCCATTTTCATGATCAATGTGGGATCATGTGCAAATGCATTAATTTATTTAATTCTAAATTAAATAATTAATCAAAAGCAATCACCATGCAACAAGTGTCAAGGGGAGAGAGAGAGAGTTAGGTGAGGACCATGTCCCTTGGGGGGACCATTGCCTTGCTCCCCAAGGGAAGCCTTAAGGCTTTTGGTCCCCACACCCTCAAACCGCCACACCTTAGACAGCTGGGCTGGCAGCCTGCCTTGGCTGTCAACTGACGCCTAACACCAAGGCTGGGCAGCAAGCCAGCTTGCTGTGCCAGCACGCACTAGCCCTAGCATCCTGCTGGGCTACTAGGCGTTGGGCGCTGCTAGCGTGGTGTTGTTGCCTACCCAACGCACACACACACGCATAGACAGCATGTGTGCTGCTAGCGAGCCAGCATGTTGGGAATTGCCTCGCAAGCTGCTGGCCTCGGCACTCGCATATGCGCACATCACATATGCTAGATGGCTGGTGCGTGGCGATAGGCCTAGGCATACACATACGCACACATGAAAGTGCCCCTGCGATGGTGTTGTGCTATGCGAAGGCACACACGCACGCACACACGCTAGTGCCTAGCACTGCGATGGTGGTGTGCTGTGCGAAGGCACACATGCACGCACACAAGCTAGTGCCTAGCACTTGCGATGGTGTTGTGCTGTGCGAGGGGCTGCGATGGGCGATGCTAGGGCGCATGGCTTGCTAGCACATGCGCAAGCACCTAGCACACCTAGCATGCGATGGACTAGCCTAGCCTAGCACTCACATGGCTAGGCCAATGTGATGCTACGGCTATGCTCGTACTTGTTGCTTGTGATTTTGCGACGCTCGGTTTCGACGCCCTAGGCTCGATATCCGACGTCTGTGTTCGTCAAACTCCGAAGACTCATTGAATCCTTCGGATTAATTCGTCGTCTCGGATCGGTTGTTCGATTGGGTTCGACCCGAAGGGTTCAGTTAAGCTGTAATATAAATTATACCTTAATACTACTGATCGGAAGCGGCCTCCACCTAGGCATTCCGATCACTTGACCTTACTGAAGAATTAGCTCTGTAATAATTCTAAACCCTCTATCAGAATAATACACTTGTTGGAAGGACACCATTCCTTTCAATTTAATCCATTTATATATCTAGTAATTGCACTTAACGAAGACATAAAACCTTCACTTCTTAGTATTATTTGTTGTTGATTTTTTAAATATTGTAACTGTAATTGTATCAAAAATGTCAATCTGATAAAAACACATTTTACAAGGGCCTAAATTTTGTACTTAGAAAAGTGCTTCTAAATCTTTAGAGATGGCCCTGGTGGAAGGAGAAATTATTATCGAGACCTGAAAATAAACACTAATTAAAGTAATTGCTCAAGCTATCCCGACGTACATGATTAGTATTTTTAAAATTCGAGATGGAGTCCTAAATGAAATTCATTCATTATTGGCACGATTTTGGTGGGGTACCTCAGATTTTTCTAGGAAAATGCATAGGCATAGTTAGGACTCTATATGTAGGCCGAAATCGATGGGTGGCATGGGATTTCGTGACCTTAAATTTTTCACACTAAGTTCTTCTCTCTAAGCAAATTTGGAGACTTTATTCAGATCAATCCTCTTTGCTCCATGCACTCCTTAAGCCTCGTTGTTTTAGACATTGCTTGGTTTTAAAAGCTTATAGAGGTAATCCTAGTTATAGTTAATGTAGCTTGTAGGGTTCCAAATCATTACTGCTTGATGACTATCTAGGACACCCAGCAAAACCTCCTACACATGGTCTGCTTTATGATTTGAATTTGCGAGTGTAAGAGTTGATAATTGGCGCACCTTCTCCTGGCTAGAACACTGAGGTGTTGCGTGAGTTATTTTCGGCGGATGATTGTAAGACCATTCTTCAAATACCCTTAGCTAGAACTGTGTCTGATGATTTGTTGTTTTGGTGGCCATCTGAAGATGGTGTTTATAATGTAAAATTTGATTACTAGCTTAGAAGAATGCGTCACATTAATGGCGCCGATGCTGGGGTTGGGGATGTGGAATAAGAAGCTTGCGCATTATCAGGAACCTCAATGGTCCTCTGAAACTTACCACTTCTTGTGGCGAATGTGTAAGGGGTGTGCTGCGATCAAGCAAGAACTTTTTCGTATGCATATCGTTAGGGATGATTTGAGTGGTGTGTGTGAGATAATGAAGTGGAATATGTCATTCATGTGCTTTTTGATTATGGTACTGCACACAATGTTTGGAATAATAGCCGTTTTCAGTCACTGGTGGGTGATTCTCCAAACTCCTCCTTTCGTTCCAAACTTGCGGGTAAGCTAGATCATGCTAAGCTACTTGTGTTATATGCCATAGGATGGTCCCTTTGGTTTCAAAGGAATAAGATTCATGATTGTTGAGGGTTAGCTTGCTTGTCTCTAAATGCTTCTGAGACGGCTGCCAACTATGACGAGCTCGTTAAGGACTATTGTATGTAAGGCAAGAAAGTGTTCTCTAGCCTCAAAGTGCAAATCTCTCGTTAACAGCATGGTTACGTCCCTTTGATGGTTTTATTTAAGTAAATGTGGATACTTATCAGGGCCGTTTCTGAGATTTCGGAGGCCCAAGGGCGAAAATTTTAAATTGGGGCCCTATTGCTATAATCGTACATAATTTAATTTCACTAAATAATCTAATTATAGAAGCTATAAAATACATTACAATCTAATTTTTTAATTAATGTTAAGATGTTATAAAATGCATACTACAGAGTATATAATATTGCTGGTTGACAACTTTATCTAGATACAAATGTCTCATCTACCAAAATAAAATAACATCATGATTGACCCTCTCCAGCAATTGAAACCGGTCATGATCACTTATTTGTTCACAATCTAATAGCTTAAACATTTTACTATTATAACAAAATTTGGTTGCAAATATATTTTTAAAATAATAGAGTTGAAAATGATAATTGTATTGCTCTATTTCAATGTATCATCCAAAACCTACCTAAGTGGGGAATAAAATTCAAGTCATCTAACCACCAAGCCACATACAAAAACATTATTAAATATGCGCGCATTATAACCTAAAAATAATGACTTATAAGCTTAGAGAAAATGGGCCCTCTCTATCCGTGGGCCCTAGACAAGCTCCTCGGCTGCCTGGGTCAGATACAGGCCTAATACTTCCTATATGGGGTTTAGGGCAGTGGCGAGAAACCATCGGGGAAGGGGGGGGGAGAGATCATCTTGGCGCTGCAGTTAGACATGTTAAGGGTGTATGGACAGTGGAGTGTGTAGACTGCGCGTTTTGGGCTCTCGATGGCTCGACGCCATAAGTGTGACACAAGTATGGCTAGAAGATGATTCTTCTTCTGCCCAAGAGTATTGTACTCTTAGCGGATTACTGTATGATTTACAATATTCCTGCCTAACGTTTTCCTAGAAGAGAGAGAAAAAAAAAAAAAGAAAAGAAGCTAGTCATCAAAACAATAAGTACAATAAGCTTTCAGCTATAAGCTAACCGTTGATCACGAAGCAATGCCAGTATTTCCTGTTTATTATCATAGTTCCCAAGCTTTAACCTAGTAACAGGCATATATATATTGAGCAGCCGCTAAGCAGTAGACAAAGAACCCATAACAACGTTTTCTCTTTCATTCTTTCAATCGCTTCGTTCACTCTTGAATCTCCCTGAATTTGAAACCTCCATTAAAGCAGCAGCTAGAAGCTTTAGAGCTTAGCCTGGGTTTTTGGCCTAGAAATGCTGCAACAACACACAATCAGTTGTATCGATTGGAAGCCATCGCCGGTTGTAGCCCTTGCCACCAGCGCCGACGACTCCCAAGTCGCCGCCGCTAGAGAAGATGGCTCTCTCGAGATTTGGCTCGTATCTCCTGGCTCCGTCGGCTGGCACTGCCAATTGGTATTACTTTTTCTGTGATTGTTTCTTTCTTTCTTTTCTTTCAATTTTTGCAAAATGTACAAATTCTGCGTTTTCTTTCACTGTTTTGATGGTGTCGCGGCTTTTGAAAACTTTAGACGATTCACGGCGATCCCAATTCGAGAATTTCGTCGCTTGTTTGGTGCCGCACGAGTTCTAAGGGTTCTTCGTCTGGAAGATTGTTTTCTTCTAGTATTGATGGGTCTGTTTCTGAGTGGGATCTTTATCAATTGAATCAAAAGGTTCTTTTTCTAATTTTACTCGTATTGTGTACTTTAAATTGATAGATTATATAACTGATTGAGGGACGTGGGTTTTTCATTTGAATGGTTTTTTGATTTTAATTGTTTTGTGATGGTAGACTGTGCTGGAATCAGTGGGCGTATCGATATGGCAGATGGCAGTGGAGCCGTTAAAGAACAGTTGGGGAGATATCGAACACGAAGCTCATAGCAATGGAAATGGGGTTGTGATAGATAATAATATTGATGATAGTGAAAGTAGCGATGATGATGAAAGTTATGGTAGAGTTGAGCTTCATGAAGTGGAGAATCGTCGATTAGCGCTTGCTTGTGATGATGGTTGTGTGAGATTATATACTATCCCTGATACTAATGAGTTGACATACCATAAATCGATGCCTAGGGTTAGCGGTGAGTGCTCTACATTGTGTCTGCTTACATTTTTTTAGTTGTTTTACAATTTGCGGGTATTCACACTCTTGTTTCGTCTTATAACAGGCCGGGGTCTTAGTGTGACCTGGAGCACTGATGGAAATTTTATTTATTCTGGAAGTAGTGATGGGTATGCTTTCATAAATTGAAAATTATCTCTTAATTTGGAGAAAAGATGTTGTGAATTCATGTGTGCAAACACGATAGGCTGTCTAATGTTACTTATTTGTAATCTGCAGGTATATTAGATGTTGGGATGCAAAATGCGCTCATGAACTATATAGGATTACTGTTGGTCTTGGAGGTTTGGGAGCTGGGTCAGAAATTTGTGTTTGGTCATTACTTGCTCTAAGGTAGTTTTTGAACCAAATTAATCTGTTTCGTACTGTAGCCTATCTAATAGTTGTTGACTTGTAGGACTAGGGGTTATATTAAATAAAGCAGTTACCTCTACAAAATTGTCATCATTGATGCTTTGTTGATGTCACACTCAATTAGCATATTCACTTTTTTTCGTTTGTTCACTCACTCAATTGATATGTTGTGATTAGGTGTGGGGTTCTTGTGAGTGCTGATAGTACAGGCAGTGTTCAGTTCTGGGATATTAAGCATGGAACACTATTGCAGGCTCACTCTCTTCACAAAGGTGACTCATTTGCTTTGGCCGCAGCGCCTTCCCACAATAGGGTGTTTTCTGCAGGTTCTGATGGAAAGGTATACAAACTCTGAAATGCCATGATGACCAATCAAATTGAGTGCATCCTGATTGATGTTATGTAGGTTGGAAGATGTATATAATCATATAATGTCATTAATCAGCTGTCTGGAATGTTCTTAGAATGTTTCCTTTTGTTATTGCATTGTTTTTCTACTTGGCTTTTCTGTCTTATGGTTTGTTCTGTTAAGTTGTTGATCATTTGATAGGTTATTTTCCATGGTTTTGTCCTATTTCTCTATAGTGGTAGGTTCTATGTATTTTTTCAAACTAGCATAATAATTGCATTGTTTTCTGCTTATGATCACATCAAGATAATTGCTACTGTGTCCCTCTTGCCAAAGTAAGGAGTCCATCAATTGGGTTTGGATTATTTGTTTATTGATGCTCCTTGCTAACTAAGATGCATGTAAGGCTGTGGACAACATTGCTTGTTTAGAATGAAACAATAAATAACCCATGTGGAATTGGTCAGTTTGTTAGTTGATGCTTCCTGTCATCCTGTGTAATAGAGTTCTGTAGGGTATGTTATGTTAATGGATTTTCTTCCAATACTTTCGAAGTGGACGATCAATTGAAGACACTGATTATGGTTCTTCTATTGCTTCATGCAACTCTTAGACCTTATCAGTAGATTAATGCAATTGTTTTGTTTGTAAAGTATTAATTTGTGAAAGGTTTCAACACTTTAGATATTCTCAATATGTGTTATTATGCAGCAACTAAGGTTAATATTGTTTGACAGGTGATCTTATACGAGCTCTCTGATGATGTTCTTGACTCCAGTCACGCTAGTAAGTTGTCTTCTGCAGTCAGGAAGACATGGGTTTATGTTGATAGCAGAAGTGCTCATACACATGATGTTAGGGCATTGACGGTGGCAGTGCCTATTAGCCAGGAAGGTCTGTCTTTGTGCTTCACTTCTGTGCTGCTTTTTCATGATTGCTAGAGCATGTGTAAGCATCCTCTATGCACTGAAGATTTTAGGTGTGCTTTCCCTAATGAAACATGCTGTTTTCCATTGTCAGATTTGCTCCTGGATGAAAAGGTTAAAAAAGTTCGCACAAAAGAAAAGCCTGTCGACTTTAGTTATCACAAGTGGGCAAATTTGGGGGTTCCAATGCTTCTGTCAGCTGGTGATGACACTAGAATGTTCGCATATTCTGCCAATGAATTTACGAAATTCTCTCCTCATGATGTATGCCCTGCTCCTCAAAGAGTGCCTGTACATTTGGTCCAAAACTCTGTTTTTAACATGATGCCATTGCTTCTAGTTCAAGGCTCTAATGGAATTGATATCCTGTCTCTTAAATTGGGAAATGGTACTGCTCTTGATAAGGCTAATAGTGGACACGCAGCAACTAATTTGTTGGCCCGTGTCAATAGTAAGGGATCTGGAAAGATTACTTGCAGCGCTATATCTCCTTCTGGGTCACAATTTTGCTTTTCTAATCATGCCAAACCAAGACTATTTGGATTAAAGAGAGGTGGAGGTTCCAAAAATGCATGGGTTATTGATAAAAGACAACTTCCTGGCAAACTGCCTTATGCTCATGCCCTGGCTTTCACTTCAGATTCGTCTCGATTAATTGTTGCAGGAAGTGATAGAAGAATATACGTAAGTTCTTCCTTCCCTTTTTCATTATATTCATGTATACTCTGTTATGGTTATTTTCATTTTCTATTTTGACTTTGTATAAAAAAAATTTAGGCATAGTAGCTTACTAATGATTTGTTGAACTTAATTTCTCTTTGAATGCTAAACATATACAAGTAGATGGTTTGTGAATTCTTGATTTTCTTAGTATGCTAAAATAGTTCAGCAAATGATTATTGACAACAATTCTATTGCTAGCTAAAGCTATGACTCTTGCACAAATTTATAAATAAGACTATTGTTAACAAGTTCCTATACATTATTAATGAAATTACTAACCCAGTTATTCATTCTTTTTATTGACTGTGTTGGTTTTATAAATAAACTATATAAAAGCTCTGTGTCTACAATTTGGATTTTTGATGGATGCAGAATTCCTCGTGTTTTTATGACTTACCTACTTACCTACTTAAGTTTTTGGTTCCAATGAAGAATTGTCTTGACATCTAGGCCCTATTCTGTTCACCTTATTTTCTATTTCATGTCTTACAAGCTTAGATAAGATGGTTTTAATAAGGGTTACCCAAGTTCAAATTACAGCTAGAACAAGTTTTAATAAGGTTTATTAAGTTCAGATTAGTTCTGGTAAGTTAGATAAGATTACTTCTTAGAACTTTATAAGTGAAAATCAGGTGAATGTGTGCGGATACCATCTTAAACTTCTAATGGAACAAGTTACGCATGACAATAGAGTCAAGCCAGTGTAAAGTGCATTACCAATGATGGCTTTTATCAAGATTTGATCGGTGTCTAGTACTTAGTTTGCACGGGAACAAAAAGTCCGAGAAATGTGAACATAGGGAAACATAAAGTTTAATTTTTCATTTATTTATTTATTTAGATCTTTCAAAATTTGAATTAATTGTGCAATTTTTGGAAGATTTTTGTTTGTGTGAGACTAGAGATTTTTTTTTTTTTTTTTTTTTTGGGGGGGGGGGTAATTTGCTTGTAGTCTTAAAGAAAATGTTTCTGCCTAAATTTCCTTGAGGTTCAGGCTTCAGAGGCTCCTAGTTTTGGAAATGAGAAGCAGGTATTTTTGTAAAAGTTTCCAAGCTTCTTATGTTTTTGCTGGACTGCTGGTTGTAGGGGTGGGGGTAATTTGCTTGTAGTCTAAACAAAATGTTTCTGCCTAAGTTTCCTTGAGGTTCAGACTTCAGAGGCTCCTAGTTTTGGAAATGAGAAGCAGTTATTTTTGTAAAAGTTTCCATGCTTCTTATGTTTGTGCTGGACTGCTGGGTTGTAGAGGGTAGCTTTGCATTGGACTTAGGCCTTTTCTTTCCAGTCCAGCTTGCTTGCTTTCTGTTTCTGTCTCAATCATGTCATGCTTGTATTGTGACTGGGGATTATTCACATCTCTACGTGTAAGCTATTACTAGCAATAATTAGTATGCAAAAACCTGAGGCTTCTAGTGGGGAGTACTCGTATGCGATCTTATTGTAATTTATTGTGCCATTCGGAATGTATAGTAACATGTGGCATTGGAATGTTAATATTTATAGTAATATGTTGTGGCATTTTGGAATGTGTAGTAATGTATTCTGACATTTGGAAACTTAAAATATTTGTTTTTGTAAGGAATGTATTGGTATTCATAACACCCATGCTTCCATGGTAAACTATTGAATAAATTTAATTTCTACTTTTTCACAATTTTCTTAGTAAACTATTAATAAAAGTCACTTTCTACTTGGTCCAATCATGCACTTATTCTCTCTCTCTCTCTCTCTCTCTCTCTTTTTTTAAAATTGGGTAGTTCTGTTGAAAATTTTAAATTATGAAATTGTTTGTATATAGGAATTTTTATTGAGCTTCAAGTATTGGATAGACAATTTATGCTCATTTCCTTCTTCACCTATTGTTTACAGGTTGTAGACCTGGGATCCACAGAATTGTTGCACATTTTCACACCTTGTCGTAAGACACAAGATGAGCATTCGCCACCCAGTGAGCCTCCGATCACAAAATTGTTAACAAGTTCTGATGGACAATGGTTGGCTGCTGTAAATTGCTTTGGGGATATATATGTCTTCAATATGGAAATACAGAGGTAAGGAGTAGTGCGATGGGCCTTCTTTTTATGTTATTTTCTTAATTAGTAAGTTTATTTGATTTGTGTTACAGCTTAGTTTATGTCCCCCTTTTTATTTTTATTTTTAATTTTTTTTTTTGGGAAAAAGTTTACAGCTTGTTAAAATATTACTAGTCCTGGTTTTTTTTTTTTTATTTTTTATTATTATTTATTTATTAGAGTGGTAATGGAAGATTGCCTCTTATATGTAGTTTTATACTTAAACTCAGTAACATTGGATGCTTTTCACAATGTTCTGTAAGTTACTTGCCTAGCTTTCTTTGGCTCATGCCAGGTAATCTAATTGAGTGTGGGGTTGTTACAGAATAGTTGAGCCCACCAAGAGCCAAATTCCTCAAAAACTCTGCTTAATCAATGGCATTGTTGCACAGCCTTAATTTTACTGTTCTTTTTTCTGCAATGCTCCATTTTATTCTAATTAAAATCTGGCTACATATCCTGGATTGCACTACATGTTTCTTTTTAGAGTGTTATCTGGATGTCCATCTTGCCATGGCTTTTAATTACTGCACATCGGGGACATTATGTTCCTATCTTGCACATATGCATTATCCATGTGTCCATCAGGAGGGAAGATGAGTACATTGTAGCTAGTGCTTTTTGACAATGTTTTACAATAATGCTTGTGAAAATCATTAATAAATGCTCATTTACTTTGTTTTGCTGCAATTAGCTTGCCTTTTCTGATGTTTTTATATGTGAATTCCTTGTGTGATCCAGCGTATGATCCCTTCTTTCTAACACTGGCTGTGATGTATGATATTGATGAATTCTTTGCTTACAGTTATCATGCATGTTTTTTCCTGCATTTTTCATTTGATTATGTCTTGCAATTGTCAATGCATGCTTCTTATCTGTATATCTAACCATCCTCCTTATTGCATGAAACAGACAACATTGGTTCATATCAAGATTAGATGGTGCTTCTGTTACTGCTGGTGGCTTCTCTCCCCATAGTAACAATGTGCTTGTCATCACAACATCATCAAACCAAGTTTATGCATTTGACGTAGAGGCCAAACAATTGGGTGAATGGTCAAGAAAAAACTCTTTCACTTTGCCTCAGAGGTTCCAGGAATTTCCTGGCGAAGTTATTGGCATCTCATTCCCACCATCAGCAAGTTTGTCATCTATTGTTGTTTATAGCTCAAGGTGTGTTTCCTTTACCTTTCTGTCTAGAAGTTGGCTTGCTTCTATTCATTTCTGGAGATGGCTGTGTGCTTTTTTATGTTTGGCTAGTATAACTTGATTTCAGAATTGCAATTTTGGTAGTTTGTGAACTACTTTAGACAAATTGTCCGTAATTTTAGTGGTTAATGGTTTGAGTTACAAATTATGCCTCCTTTTAAAGGTGTACCTTTCTTCTCACCAACAGTTATTTCCTGCTTTTCTGGCATATCCCGGTCTTGGTTGCAGTTTATCCCAAGATAATTTTGTCTTACTTTCTCTGGAGATAATAATACCTCTTTGTCCTTAGTTTCCCGTAGTGTATGAAGCATGCATAAGGGCAATGAACATCCAGCTATTAATGTCTTGAAAATACAGTTTCTGTTTTAGATCATTGGCAGCTCTTTTTACTACCTTACTCCTTTACACCTTTCTTCTCACTCTTTCATTTACTACCTTGATCTTACATCTTTCCACTTTTTAAAACTCTTAGTTTATTCACCTTTTTCTTACACCCCTCTTACCCATGGAAAAAGAACTCGGCCGTTCCGTTATGTAACGCCCGCCTTGTAACGGGTTTCAGACTTGCCGTTCCGAAAAAGGCCGTTATATAATGCCAAGTTGAAATTCACACCCAAATCGGCGAGTTGGCCGTTCCGTAACGGTAGAACGCTGTTCTGAAACCGTTACATTTGCGAGTAATCCTTTTGGGCATGCTGAAATTCTCGGAAACAGCCTTCCATTTCTTCGTATCAGTGCTAACATGGCTATGGAGAAAGAAGAGAAGTGAGGAGCGGGGGACCGGGGGACCGGGGGTTGAAGAAGAAAGGAAGTTGAAGAAGGAAGTACAATTTATGAAAAAGTAAAAAAAAAAGTTGAGTCAAAGAGTCACATGCTGCATCACCTTTTTGTCTTTTTTGTGACAGCTTTGTTCCATCACCTTTTTTACCCATTTATTTATTTGACCCTATAGCTACCCCTCTTTACCCCTTTTTTAAAAATAATCTGGGGGCTTTCTACTCCGAATTGAAATTTAATGTTTGTAATAGTTTTGGGCATAATATGGTATAAATACAAAGCACGTGAATTAACAAGGTAAAAATTCTACTTGTGTGATTTTTTTTCAAAAATTCACGCAGCGAAATCCGCGATCTGTTCTATTTAACTGTTACAAGCCATTTCCGCGACAACGCGACCGTTATCGCTAACGCGACCGCGACCGCGTTTTTTTTCCATGTCTTACCACATCGTCACTTACCCTCCAATTGCCTTAACCGTGTAAATGTTGGGAACTTTCGAAAAAGAGGTAGTATGAAACTATGAATGGTCTATCAGCACTTTTCCTCCAATTGCCTAAACAGTGCTAGCAGTAAATGGTAAGAGCTTTTACAAAAGAGGTAGTATGAAACTGTGAACGGTCTATCAACACTTTTCCTCCAATTGCCTTAACAGTGCTAGCAGTAAATGCTAAGAGCTTTTACAAAAGAGGTAGTATGAAACTATGAATTGTCTAATGGACTATAACATCTAACCAGGAACATGAGTGATAGAGAGTCGCTAGGTTGAAAAGTTGATTCATACTCGCCTCTTATTGATTACCGCTTAATTTAGCTGTATCCAAATCGTCTGCAGGCACAGCGAGTATAGGTCGCATAGTGAATAGGTCGCATAGTGAATAGGTTGGCGTGCTTAGGTGCTTCATAGGTCGCATAGTGAATATTCATGTCATAGCTGAGCATAAATAAGCGTTGTCCTACCATTTGGGACAAAGTTCTCTTCATGCCATGAAAGATATCAGGGCTTTGTTTAGAAAGTAATTAATTGCCTAGAACCACAAAAAGATTTGATAATAACCTAATTAAATGTTTAGCTATAGAGTTCTGAAAGTAATGTAGGAGACTTGTCTACAGATAATATGCGTTTAATTTCTGGAGAGAGCAAGTTTGTTGAAATTGATGACAATGATCCTGTTGTGTTGGGAGATGATTAATTTCCCCTGTGCTATATTTATAAGGATTACGTCAAGAACAGAACTATGAGTTGCACTTTTTTTCTTGGTCTTGTGTTCTGCTACAAATAACCTTAGGCATGGCTTATTGTAGTAGTTCTTTCTTTGACACTTGGTACTCCGTAGTTATCATCTTCTATTTGAAACCAGTCGTCTAATTTTTGGCTATGTGCTTCCATGTTTGACGGGGTGGACAAGCTGTGGGTCTGACTATAAATGAACTTTTGTTGCAGGGCGATGTGTTTGATTGACTTTGGAATGCCTGTTGAACGGGATGATAGTAGTGACTTGGTCAAAACAGAAATGCTTAATGGTTTGGACACCGTCTCAAAGAAGCTTTTAAACTCAAATGGAAGGCTGAAGCGCAAGTTGCAACAGCCTGATATGTACATAAAGCTGTATGGCAGACGGAATTTTGAATTCGTCCAGTTTAAACATCCTGTTTTATTTGTTGGTCATGTTTCCAAGAGTTCTGTTATTGTCGTAGAAAAACCGTGGTTGGAGGTGGTTAAGAGTTTCAGTAGCCAGCCCATTCACAAACACATATATGGTACTTGAGTTCGTTTACACAAACAGGTGTTGGTATACGAGTTACTCAGCGATGAGTTTTTTTTTTTTTTTTTTTTGGTGGTTTGCCAGGGTTAGGCCTTGTTGGGGCGATCAATTTTGGTGTTGCAGTAATCACTTCTGTGCCTTTTTGGGTTACGAAGCGTGTTGTGTATTATGTTCACTAACATTATATCTGTTGTCACATTTTCTAGTTAGAAAGGGGTATGATTTTATTGAGACTTTATCTAGGCTGCAGTTTAGTGCATCTGTAAATAGGGTTCCAAGAACCACTTTGATATTTTTTCATTGTAATGATTTTTGTTACTACCCTTTTTTGTTGACTTCGTTATTTTAATTGGTATTTTATTATTAAATAGAAAAGATAACCTATCTATTCATTCAAAAAAAAAAAAAAAAAAAAAAAAATTCTACACCTATGTATGTGGAAGCTGAGATGTTTTAGCATTCACTTTCACTTTAACGTGTGCTGAAGTGCAATTTTAACCAATAATACATTGACTTTTGGTCAAACTTTTTTTATTTTTATTGGGTTGTGTGTTTGGTAATTTGTAAGAAAATTTGATTTGAAGTTAATAATAACTAATCTTATACTATGTGATACTTAATGATTAACATCTGATAATTTAACTTAATGTAAAATGATATTAAAATATTTAGTATACATTTGATCACAAAATAGTGAGTGTCTAATTTAAATTTGAGACAAAGGTAATGTGAAGCCCCCTTCCTGGGGTAGTGGGGTTAACAAGTTTTGTACATTTACGTGCAGCATTCCACTAATTGAGTGTAATTTTGAGTTCTATCTTCAAATTCTATATATGGTTGATGGATTAGTGAAAGATAGGAAAAAAATGAATTTAACTAAGGAAGACGATATGGTTTGTGGAGTGAATTTTGACAATCCTAATAAAACTAGAGAGGAAGAAGGTGTTTCATTGCTGATGGAAATAAGGATTTCCAATACTCTAGTTAGTGATGCATGCTGAGAGTGAAGGATATGTCAAGTGGTTAGCGCTTTCCTCCCGATTCCAGAAGATCTTGGGATCAATTTTCATTATCTCTGCCCTTATGGCTCTCTAACCACCATAAAAAAAGTTAGTGATGCATGCTTTGCAATCTTCCGATTATACTGATAAAAATTACCGCACAAGACAATTCTCAAAATTCAGTTGGCATGGTTGCTTGTAATGTGGGTCAAAACACTAAGGTGTTAAACAACGAAAATCAATATTGTTAAGGAAAAAACTGTATAAAATAATCTCAACTTTGCTATATTTTCTTTTAAAAATCCCAACTTTGGATTATTCTGGAATAATTCGAACTTTAGGAGCTGTTCACTTTCTAAAATCCCAATTACTTTTCTTCTGCAGGTATCTTTTCTTCTACTTATCTGTAAATTAAAGAAAAATTTATATTAATAATCCCACATTTTTTTCCGTCTTCCCAAAATAATCCTACCTTTTAAAAATCCCAAAATAATCCCACCTTTTACCCTTATCTTCTCAAAATAGGCCATGACCGATTTCATAAGATTACTGCTCGGTTGAAATAGGTAGCAAGCCACGTGTTAGTTTTTTATTGGTCTAATTATTTTTTAAAAATTATTAAAAAAAACTTCCTTCTTTAATGGCTTCTCCGCTTGACTAGACCCATCCCTTCCCCTTCCACTTAAGTCGTCCACCCACCACTGAATGACCCCGTCGGCATGACCAGATCGACATACCCACCTCCTTTCCGCTTTTGCTTTTTCCCCATTGCCGCTTGCCCTCTCTCTCGCCCTCTTTTCTCTCTCCCCTGAAACGTGAAACCACCAACAATGGTCGGTGCTTACTTTGATTTCTAGGGTTTAATTGGGTGGTTATTTTGTATTAGATGTTGTTGCTGGTGCTTTTGTTGGTGTATTTAATGGAGCCTTAATTCATCGTTTCTATTTTTTTATATTTATCAACAAATTAAACAACATTAGGTTGTTTTCGGGGTAGTTGGGAAGGTTTTCAGGGTGGAGGGTCTCTGGATTGGTGGGTGGGAGGGTTTTTGGGGTAGGTGGGTGGTTGATTTGGGGGATTGATGGTATTTCGATTGGGTGGGAGGTTGTTTTTGGGTGGTTGCAGGGGTGATTGTGATGGAATGATTTGATGATTATGATGGGTTTCCATGTAAGGGGGTGAGGAGGTGGGGTCAATGATAGGTATAAGAGTGGATTACCATGGAAGGTGGTGGCAACGGTGGTAGTGGTGGCATTGGAAGTGGCAGTGAGATGGTAGTTATGGGGAGGAGAGAGATTTAAGAGAAAAAAGAATTCAACCAGTTAAACAGGTTATAGGTTAAAAGGTCTATTATAAGAAGATAAGGGTAAAAGGTGGGATTAGTTTGAGCAGACCGAGGAAGGGTGGGATTATTAATATCAATTTTTCTCAAAAAAAAAATGCAACACTAGTTATTGTTAATCCACCACAAGATCGCCCTAATTAGCTGCCACAAAACTGGTACATTGAGCGAACTTGTGTAAACCCTACTAACGTGGTATGTTTATTAGTCCAATTCAATAACTAGTCATTTTTTAGCTAATAATATTTTTTTCTAATCAATGCAAACATTACGATGTTGTTTGGTTGGCATAGAAATTAATGTAAGCACCGACCATTGTTGGTGGTTTCACGTTGCAGAGGAGAGATAAAAAAGAAGGAGAGAGAGAAGAGCAAGCAGCGATAGGGGAAAAGCAGAAGCGGAAGAGAGGTGAGTATGCCGATATGGTCATGCCAGCGGGGTCGTTCAGTGGTAGGTGGACGACTTAAGTGGAAGGGGGAATGGGGTGGGTCTAGTCAAGTAGGGAAGCAAATGAAAAAGAAGGAATTTTTTTTATTTTTTAATTTTATAAAAATATTAGACCGATAAAAAACTAACACGTGGCATGCTACCTATTTCAAATGGTTAGTATGTAATCTTATAAAGCCTATCATGACCTATTTTGAGAAGATAGGGGTAAAAGGTGAGATTATAAAAATGTGGAATTATTTTGAGAAGACGGAGGAAAGGTGGGATTATTAATACCAATTTTTCCTTTTCTTCTGTGGGTATCTTTTCTTCAACTTTATTTGTAAATTAAAGGAAAAATTGATTAATAATCCTACCTTTCACTCGTATTCTCAAAATAATCCCACCTTATAATAATTTCCAAATAAAGGTATGTATGTATGTATGATATCAAATTAATGCACCAATGCCATAAATAAAGAATCATGATTTTGATTTTGTATTGCAATAAATGAATAATAGCAACTAACCTAATGTGAACATATAGGCATTATGCTATGCAATTGATTTATTTTCTTTTTTGGTTTTTTTGTTCAAAAAAAAAAAAAAAAACAAGTAAATAAATCAAATTGCATAGCATAATGCATGTATGTTCACATTAGGTTTGTTACATCACCACTGTTAATGAGGTGGTAAAGAGTTTACCACCACATTAAAAGTGAGATCTTAGCAAACCACGATATTAAGTCATATTAGCATCAATAATTCCGTGTCATTAATTATGTACTAACGATTAGTAAGAGTGTACGAGCACTAACAACGTGTTATGAAGAGAGAAAAAAGGATAAAAGGGTGATGGTACTTGTTTCTTTTAATTTGATATTAATTGGGGGTAAGAAAAGTAGAAAAGGAATAGGAACTTGAGGGATCTCGTTTCTCCTATAATAAATAATCAAATTGTTTCAAAAAAGGTGGATAAATTTAAAGTGAAAACACAAGTTTACTACTATGAATCCATGCTCTGAATTCTTGTTCCTTCCCTTCCCCTCCCTTTTAGTACCATCGTTATCCAAATAAATTGTTATATTGTGTTTGAATTATCAAAAAAAATTATTTTCCTCTATCATATCAAACATGGCCATAGAAGGGATGAAAAATGAAGGGGTCAACTTTTCCATCTTTCAAATAAACTAATTATTCCACAAATTAATTGATTTAAAAAGAAAATGAAAAACCACAATTGTGGCTTTTAATTCCTTACCTCCATTTTATTTATATTTGATATATGTCTTTCCAACCTTCCCTCTCCAAGGCCGCATGAAAATCAAAGTGTATAAGAACATTATGAAGTAAATTAAATGATACAATGACTACTAAAACAGTATCTTAGAGTTGAAAAAGAAAAAGATAAGACTATGGCCATTTTTACTTCACCTTACTTTTACTTATTTTAGATCAGATAACAAAAAATAAGTTTAGATTAGATCAGAGAAAATAAATATTGACATACTTTATCGTTTCATGTGTGGTTTTTTATCGGTAAATATCTTTAATTTCGTAATTAAAATTTTACAAAAAAAAAATTACGTACTAATAAAATATACATATTATGAATCTAACAATTCACATTTTGATAAATTTTAGATTATCGTAATGAAAATTTGATCAAATTAGACAATCATATCATATCAAACCAGGTTAGATTATATCAGACTAGATCAGATCAGATTAGATAAAATAAGCAAAAATAAGGTGAACTAAACAAGCCCTAAAGCTAAATTATGAGACAATAAAAAATTGAAAAAAAAAAATCTCTGTCTCTACTCCTTTCGAGATTACTAGCCAAAAACACTCGCAGTAAAACTTGTTAAATTGTGTCATTTTTTATTAAAAATTAAATAACTTTAAAAAAACCTCTATGGATTTTAAATTGAAAAATGGAAGGATCAAATTTTCTTTCACCTGATAAGCCAATTCTTCTCTTGGATTAATCGATTAACTAGAAGGAATATCAAAACTTGAACGCTTCCTTTCAATTCCTCTACCTACAAAGTTTCTCTCCTTCCGTCGTTGATTGAAAACTAAAGAATAAGAAAGTAAAGGACGGTGTGTGGATTCCTTGATTTTGAAAAAGAAAATGACAGCCTTAGAGCTAAGAATTTTGACCTCTCGAGGTTTTTTTATTGCAATATTTGCTTGGCAAAGAATACAAGCTAGAAAAATTTCTCGTTATATAGCTTGTAATTGTATGCGTTATATGATTTTTCTATCCATTTTGGTCGTGATATTTTGATGTGGGAAAGACCTCTAAAATTGAGCCGCGTGGATAAATATGATGGGCAGTAATAATAAGGCTGGTTATTTCTATATCAATAACGGTGATGATCGTTGAAATCCAAATTTGGTGAAAGAATCATACTTCCACCATTTAGTTTAAGTTGCAACGTTTAGAAAATGGCACTATTTTATATGGTGGGAAAAATGTAGTCATGTTTTATGTGAGACCTTGTTAAATTCGTCTAGATTTACATTTTCACAATATCAAACTGTTATATTATTTTACCTATATCTACAATTAGA